ATCTAGTCAGCCAGGGAGAAACCCCTTCTGTGCCTTCCGTGGGTATTTGGTCAGGTAATTTAGTTGAAGAATAATAGAAAGTGATTTTGCTTACAAATATTCTCCCATTTCAGCATTCTCTTGAAAATATTTTCACTTCCAGAGTGCCTGCCTGGCTCAGTTGGTGGACTGTGCAACTCTTGATCTTGAGTTTAAGCCCCAAGGTGGGTGTAGAGATTACTTAAAAATAAAATGGTAAAAAAATATTTTCAGTTCCAAAGACTCAGAATATGAACTCTTTGAGGTCAAGAAATGCTTGGATTTTAGTCCATTTTGGGAAATTTATCCAATCAGCTGTGAATTAGTGAAAGTTCCCTTTTTATGCACGGTAACTGCCTGTTGAAAGAGTTTTGCAGGCTAGTTTTCCTAGTGAAAAACATTAACCGAAGTGTCACTTTCAAGACAATATTTGGGAAAAACACTATTTAAGGACAACTCCACTAATTCTCTCTCTTTCTCTTTTTTTTAAATGTTTATTCTTGAGAGAGAGAGACAGATCCTGAGTGGGGGCAGGGCAGAGAGAGAGGGAGACACAGAATCCTAAGCAGGCTCCAGGCTCTGTCAGCACAGAGCCCAATGTGGGGCTCGAACCCACCAGCATGCTGATCATGACCTGAGCAGAAGTCAAATGCTCAACCAACTGAGCCACCCAGGCGCCCCTCCACTAAGTCTTTTAAGGGAAGCTTGTTGACAAATTTGAATGGTTTCTGTAACATTAAGAGTTAATACCTTCAACCAGTGGGCTTGGGGCACTACCAAGTGGGGGAAAACCAATGCAAAAGGACATACTGAGCAGGGGATGGGGATGGGGGAGGAGGACTCATAGTGTTTTCACTTACAGTTTGGCTCAGATTCAGCCCTGGTGATTTCTAATTAATCTTTTAATTAGAAGATTAATTAATCTTCAGTTTGTCCTCCTGTTCAATCTGTTCCCAATTTAATAAAAGAAGCTGGGATCAAGACTTTAGTGATTTTGCTAAATCATTCCCCTGTCCTAAATTTGTTTAAGTTTACTTTTCTCATATGGACACACCCCAGTCTAGAGATCCTGCCGCTTTCTGATCCATCTAAACCTTGAATAGGGGCTTAAACAAAATATAACAAAATTTAAAAAATACTGTGCTAAACTTTTTTTGATCACCCACCAGCAGCCTTTCCTCTTAGGGGTGACCCAGAATCAGAATATCAGAGTTAGAAGGAAACGTTAGGGGCCAACAGCTCACTTTTGCATGAGAGAGAGGAAATGACTTGCTCAAAATGAGTCACACAGTGACTTAGAAGATGCATGACCCTGCAGGAGTCCCCAGGCTTCCTTCCCTAACATGTGTGAACCGTTTGAGCCCGAGAAAGTGTGACTGTCTCAGGCATGCTGCACATCTCATGTCAACAGTAGTAAGCAATAAAAAAGAGTTTTCTTTTTTTTGTCTGAAACAACTTACCATGTATTTGTTTAGCAACTTCCAGTCTGACCACTGACTACAGCTTTCACCTGAGTTCACCAGCTCCATCAGCCCTAGGAAACCCATCACCTCCCATGAAAATCCTGGAATTTAAGAGGCCTCTACAACAACGTCTGTTTCCAGGTATTCCTTTTTCATCATAGCTAAAGGGACTTTATTTTCTAAAACTGAGTTGTGGAGGGGGGGCTTCAGTGGCTCAGTTGGTTAAATAGTGACTCTTGATCTCAGCCTAGGTCTTGATTCAGGGTTGTGAATTCAAGCCTTGCATTGGGCTGCACACTGGACATGAACCTCCCCAAAATTATAATTAAAATATAATAATAATAATAATAATAATAATAAAGTTGGGGAGTGCCTGGCTGGCTCAGTTGGTAGAGTATGAAACTCTTGATCTTGGGGTTGTGAGTTTGAACCCTACATTGAACATAGGGTTTACAAAAAATTATAAGTTCGGAGGAATTGGTAGCAATTAGTCCAAGGCAATTAGTTCTTAGAGGAGGTTAAATGTAGACATACTGGTTCTGAAATAATATATACAGTGGACTCTTGTTTCTCAGTTATTGTATCCACATTATATTTCTGTGTGTTTTGGGGCCATATATGGCTTTTGTTCTCCAAATTTGAGAAAATGTAGGAATTCTCTTAAATTCTTTAAGTCTATACCACGAGAGCTGCTCCCTGGCTTTCCAATAGAAAGAGGTGAACCAGAGTGCCTGGGTTGCTCAGTTGGTTAAGCATCCAACTTCGTCTCAGGTCATGATTTCACAGTTCATAGGTTCGAGCCCTGCAACAGGCTCTGTGATGACAGCTTAGAGCCTGAAGCCTGCTTTGGATTCTGTGTCTCCTTCTCTTTCTGCCCCTCAACTGCTCTCTCTCTCTCTCTTTCTCTCTCTCTCTCTCACACTCCTTCTCTCTCAAAACTAAAAATAAACAGTGAAAAAAAAACCACATGTGAATCACGGGGTCACCTGGACTCTTCCTAAGACAGAGTTTCTCAATCTTGGCACTATTGACATTGAGCTGGATAATTCTTTATTGAGGGGGGCTGCCTTGTGACTTAAAGGAATTAAATTGGATATTTAGCAGCATTCCTGCCCTCTACTCACTAGATGCTGGTAGCACCTCTCCAGCTATGACAAAAAATATTCGACATTGTCAAATGCGCCCCCCACCCCCGCCGCCAGGGGTCAGAATTGCCACAGGTTAAGAATCAACGTCCACAAGGAAAGTTTTTGGATCCCTAAAGCATCAGGTTCTCAGACACACACACACACAACCTTAGCAGGAAGAAATACCTTCCTAGCAGAACACTTGGGGTTGAGGAGAAGTTACCAGGAGGCTACTCTGTGAAGACTCCTCCCTGTTGCCTTCCCCTGCACAGAGAGCTGCCAGAAATGGGAACTTCATAGTCCTAGCCTGTGAAGATGGGGTGCTTTATTTTATTTAAATTATTGAGTTAATTAAAATTTTTAATTCCAGGGTAGCTAACTAGTGTTATATTAATTCATTTGCACAATACAATGATTCAACAGTTCCATATATTACTCAGTGCTCATCAAGATAAGTGTACTCTTGGGTGCCTGGGTGGCTTAGTCAGTTAAGCATCGGACTTCAGCTTAGGTCATGATCTTGTGGTTCATGAGTTCGAGCCCCACGTTGGGCTCTGTGCTGACAGCTCCGAGCCTGGAGCCTGCTTCAGATTCTGTGTGTCCTTTTCTCTCTGCCCCTCCCCCACTCACACTCTGTCTCTCTTGGTCTCTCAAAAATGAATAAATGTTAAATTTTTTTAAAAAGATAACTGTAGTCTTTTAAAAAATGTTTTAAAAAGATTTTTTAGGGGCGCCTGGGTGGCTTAGTCGGTTAAGCGTCCGACTTTCGCTTAGGTCACGATCTCGCGGTTCGTGGGTTCGAGCCCGGCGTCGGGCTCTGTGCTGACTGCCAGCTCAGAGCCTGGAGCCTGTTTCAGTCTGTGACTCCCTCTCTCTCTGACCCTCCCCTGCTCACGCTGTCTCTCTCTCTCTCTCCTAGAAATAAATAAAACATTTAAAAAATTAAAAAAAAAGACATTTTTTAAATGCAAGTGGGGGAAGGGCAGAGAGAGAGAGGTAGACACAGAAATGGAAGCAGGTTCCAGGCTCTGAGCTGTCAGCACAGAGCCCAAAGCAAGGCTTGAACTCACAAGCTGTGGGATCATGACCTGAGCCAAAGTCAGTGCTCAAGTGACTGGGCCACACAGGCACCCCATGATAAGTATACTCTTACTTCCCTTCATATTCATGCCTCCACCAACCTCTCCTCTGATAACCATCTGATCGTTCTCTATAGTTAAAAGTCTGTTTTTTGGTTTGTGTCTTTTTCCCCCTTATTCATTTATTTTGTTTCTTAAATTCCACATATGAGTGGAATCATATGGTATTTTTATTTCTCTAACTGACTTACTTCACTTAGCATAATACTCTCTGGATCCATCCATGTCATTGCAAATAGCAGGATTGCATTCTTTTTTATGGCCAAAAAATATTCCATCATATACATATATCAATGGACACTTGGGCTGCTACCATAGTTTGGCTATTGTAAGTAATGCTGCAATAAACATAGGTGTGCCTATATACCTTTGAATTAGTGTTTTCATATTCTTTGGGTAAATACCCAGTATTGCAATTACAAGATCATTCTAGATATGTCTCCTGAGCCAAGGGAAACAAAAACAAAAACAAATTATTGAGGCCACATCAAAATAAAGAGGGGGCACTTTCTTTGTAGACAAGGAAACCCATAGTTCCATGGCTAGATTCATTTCTTCTTAGGATGTTGCAGGAATACTTACAATATGCTTTTGTAAATTTTAGTTTGTAATTTCTATTTCTTGCATTTTCAGTGACACAGGAAGAGATACAGTTTAAACCAGAATCCCTCTGTAAGAAGCTCTTTTCGGATCATAAAGGACTCAAGGAATTAATGAAGACACAGATATATCCTTGTTCTCAGGGGACTGTGATATTTTCTAGAAGCTGGGCTAGTGATGTTGGCTTAAGGAAAGAGCGGGATGTCCTGTGCGATGCTCTCCTAATAGCAGTTAACAGTCCCGTGGTACTCTATACAATCTTAATACACCCCAGTTGGATTGGAGGGCTTGAATATGCCCGAAACACTGCTCATTGGTTAAAGCAGAAACTGGGAACCATTGGTGGTTACACAGGGAAACTGTGTGTTATCCCGAGGCTCATGCACCTGTCCAGCACACAGTGCAGCCCCGATGAAATCCCCATTCATTACCCCCAATCCTACAGGCTTGCTTCCAAGGATGAAATGGAAGACTTATTGCAGGCCCTTATTGTAGTTTCACTGTGTTCCAGATCTCTTCTGAGTGACCAGCTAGGCTGTGAATTTTTCAACTTGCTTATAGAGGAGCAATGTGGGTTGCTTTCAGAAAGCCTTCAGGAGACGCGAGAATTGTTTATCCACTGCTTTCCAGGAACCAGGAAGACAGCCCTAGCCATAAAGATCGTGGAGAAAATTAAGGATTTGTTCCACTGCAAACCAAAAGAGATCCTTTATGTTTGTGAAAGTGACTCCTTAAAGGATTACGTGACGTAAGAGTTCCACTAACTCAACACAATAAACATATTTAGTCAGTCTTTTCAACAGTATCCTAAAAGTAATCTGCGTTTCTAGTTTAAGATGTTGTGAGGCCTTAGTTGCATAAATGTGAGAGCCCAAAGTCTATACGCTTTTCCAAATGATCAGGTAGTTGAGCTACAAATGGGTACTTTGTTGTTTTTTGTTTGTTTGTTTGTTTTAAATGTTTTATTTATTTCTAGGAGAGAGAGAGAGACAGCGTAAGCAGGGGAGGGTCAGAGAGAGAGGGAGTCACAGACTGAAACAGGCTCCAGGCTCTGAATTGGCAGTCAGCACAGAGCCCGACGCGGGGCTCGAACCCACGAACCGCGAGATCATGACCTAAGCGAAAGTCGGACGCTTAACCGACTAAGCCACCCGGGCGCCCCCAAATGGGTACTTTGTAATGCTCAGGCTTAAACATCTCATTACAAATTAGCCAACTATATATCACTTTAAATTTCTTTAACTGGAAACATTTTTTCCCCTACAATCTCTGGCCTTAACTTGAAGAAAAGTAGAAATAAGCCTGTCTTGTTTTAAATGTACATTTTGCTTGATATTTAATGCTTTAAAGTCATATTTCAGTTAATTAGACATTATACCTAACAGGAACTTGAATTTAAATACCCATTTCATTTTGTTTATAAAATGTCTTCATTTGTTTGACTTATTCTGAATGAACAGTTTCAAAAAACATGCAATTTGCCTCTGATTTAAATCTTTACCTTTCAGTGTAGTAAAAGAAATTGGTTGTTATACCATCTAGCAAATGAGGGAAAACTCATTTTAATTTTTGGTTTGGTTTACTTATGTATCCAATAAATCCTTTTGGGCACCACTTATATGCTAGGAATGTGTAAATTTAGTGTTATCAGGGAAAATCATATTGAAGATGGGGTCCTAAAACCCAATAAGGGAGATAAGAAAAAAATAAGCAAAGTGAATGTTGTGCAATTAATATGAAAATAAAGATATGCTTATCTTAACTTAGGTTGGAAGTTGGTCAGCATATAGTCCTGGGTGAAGGAGATCCTTGGGCACACTCTTAAGGAGAATGGACAAAATGAGGGCTTTTTAGGCAAAGGGCACACAGCAACTGCAGAAGCACATGAGAGAATAAAAATGGTAGGTCTTACTGGAGTAGGGAGGGAGTAGGGGTATGTAGTAGATGATGAAGTTAGAAAGGAAGCGGATTCTGAATTATGAAATATCTTGTAAACTGTGCTAAGGGCTATGATGTATGGGTAAGTTTAAAAATATCCCAATCAAAAGGCAAATTCAAGTAACTATTGAACCCCTAATATGAGGGAGCTAAGAATCAGTGGTTTACTTTAGGAAGTCTACACAGTCGAAACAAGTAGAGAAGAATGTGAGTAGCTGTGATTCAAGGCATAGGGTGAGTAAATCCCCAAGGACTGCACATGTAAATCAGGAAGTCTGTAGGAATGAATGATATTACTTGGATCTAAATTAGAGGCAAGAAACAACCAAGTTTGCTTTGAAAAAAATATCTATATCTATATAACAAACTTAGCTGTTTCTTGACTCCTCTAATTTGTTCCTCCTCCTCTAATATGCTAAAACATACTATAAAGGAAAATTGAGCTAAGTAAACAGAGTAGCAGTCCCAGAGAAGCATAGCCCTATAGATTTTCTATCTTAACTTGACATGTCATGGGATTCAGCAATCTCCTGATGTTTTCCTTACCAAAATCTAAAGAGGCTTTGGTTTTGTACTACCAGTAACTAGGGAAATAGGATTTGCTTTAGATAATATTTGCAATAGAGGAATTTATACTATCCCATATCTCTTTTGGGCATAAAAATTATGCCTCTAGGGACCTGCTCTCCAGCTCTAAAAAGGATAGAAAGTTAAGCAATGATTGTAACAAATGTAAGTTACTTTTGAGATTTCCATTCAATGTAATGAGCCCATCTTTAGGGATTGTCAAACAGCAGAAATGGACTAGTAATAGAAGTAAAATCTCCTACCTGGGTTTATTTAAAAAAATTTCATGTGCAGATTTAATTAGATAATCCCAAAGAGTAGGGTTTGCAATTTATGTATTCTGTCAGGTAACTTGTAAGTAGAGCAGTTTTATAGTGTTTAGGACACCACTGGGTTAATGAATCAGTCTCTAATAAGAATTAGCCTCTAATTCCAATGCGGAGAGTGATGAAAACCTGGTGTTCCCTTTGCTTATATGCCTGAAACCTTATTCTCTCTTTCATCCTATAGCCAACAAACCACCTGCCTAGTTGTGACTCGGAAAACCTTCTTACAAGGGGAGTTCCTAAAGGTTAAACACATAGTGATGGATGAGACTGAGAATTTCTGCAGTAAATATGGAGACTGGTACCTGAAGGCCAGGAGCATCACCCATCCAAAGGTGAGGGGAGCTGGAAGTGAAAACCTTCATCATGGGATTCTCTGGATTTTTCTGGACCCTTTCCAAGTCCATCATGCAGATATTAATGGCCTCCCCCCTCCATCTGCTCAGTTTCCTCGAAAAACGATCACCAATGGGATCCACTGTGCTCTGGAAATAGCAATGGTCATGAAAGAAGAAATGAAGAGGATCAGAGCAAATCTGCCCTCTGGTGTGTCCTCAGACACACTGTCATTGTTCAGGGAAACTGCCTATGAGGAAGCAATTTGTGCCCAGGGTCTGCCTGGGGTGTATGACACAGAGACTGGTCTCACTATGGAACAAATTGTGAAACACGTGGCAGAAAGGTGTCACAACCTGTTCCAATGTGGCTACCTGCCCAAAGATATAGCAATTCTGTGCAGGAAAAGAGAGGACAGGGGACGCTATGAGCCTGCACTGCTAAAAGCAATGGAAGTATTTGAAACCCATGGAGCAACAAAGGTTGTGTTCAGTCAGGCCTCTGGTGTCTGGGGCAGTCATATCATCTTAGACAGTATTCAACAGTTTTCAGGCCTGGAGAGGAAAATTGTGTTTGGGCTAAGTCCAGAATGTGCCCTGTCAGAAGAAGCTCATAAGCTCTGCTTTGCCTCACGAGCCATTAAACACCTCTATCTGCTTTATGAAAAGAGGGCAGCTTTCTGAAAATTATTTTTAACAATACAGGGAGCCAGAAAGAACAGAGTCCCTTCTCTGGGGGAGGTGGCAGCTACTCTTTCTCACATATTAGAAGTGAGGAAATCAAGGCACCATAAATATGGCATGGAGCCAAGAAATGTCTCTCAGGAGTGACCCTTTCACTCTATGTGTTGTTACTGTACTTTTCCTCCTCCTGTACAGTTATAGCAGACTGACCATTGGCCCTCTGCCTCTGGTTTTCCTAGTCCAGTCTATCTTTCAGGGACCAGAGTTTCTCTTTAAATGCAGAACTGACTGTGGGGCTTCCCCTGCCAATGCATCTGCAGTCTTCAAGCCAAAACAATTTTCAAGACTTTCCATGATACACCTAACTTCTTCTCCTAATGCATCCTTTGTTTTACCTCCTCTTCCAATGTGTCTAAGGCCAGCCTTGATGACCTATTTTGGGAGTGGGAGGTAGGATGCCCCTGAGGCTACTTATTTTGACTGGGTGTCTCAAGGGCAGCACCTTGGTGAGCACCTCATACTGGCTATGTCTCAAGCTTTATGGGCCCACAATTTGATTTCCTCTTTGCACTAAGTACATATTGGTCTCTTGGAGATAGTTTGATGCCAGTCAAGCTCACAAAAGGACAATGCACACGTGAAAATGTCACTCTGTCAATTTACAGTGAATATTTAGTAATAAGTGGGCCACATGCTTTTGCTAATCCATATGTTCAATAGTAACATTGGAAGCCAAATTATAGAAGCAAAGCTTTGCAGCAATGGTGATCTCATTCAAATGTATGAAGACTCTAGGCAATGTTAGACTACTGCAGTCATCTCTAAAATAGGGATATTTCCACCACCAGAACTTAGGCAGGTCAGGTGTTCAGAATAAAGCAAATTTAGAATGCTAAGGGTGACTACTTGTTCCATATTCTCTGCCACAGATGACATTTTTCTTCTCTCCTAGTTTCGAAAATTTCCAAGTTGACCACCAACCTTCCCTTTACTCCTCCCAACACACACACACACACACACACACACATACACACACACACACACTTTGCTCATGTTCATCCTTCACATGCTTATATGTTCACCTAGGCTCAAAACTGTTTATACTCTACTGCTGGCCTAGGAAATGGTCTGTCTGTAAGAGGCCTTTGCCATTATCCCTGAGCTCTTCCATTATGATTTGGTGTTAATTTTAATTGACAGGGAGCCTGGATGGCAACTCTACCACCTAGGCCATCCCTACCCACTCCTGGCTTCCGGCTGTGCTTATCTGCTCTGCCTTCAAAGCCTTCTCTGCCCCTCTACCTGCTGAAATCCTTGCTTGTCAATCAAGTCTTTGCTCAAAAGCCCAACCTCTCAACTTAAACTTTCACTGTCCCCCTGACTTAAATTTGGTCTCTCCTTTTGTAGCCATTCTATGGCTTAAAAACTTTTTTGAGGATAGTGCCAAAGTCATTCTAAACTTTGCCAGAGAAGCAGCTCTCTGCATAGTAGGATCTACATAATACCCTCCTATTATGTTTTCTTTCTAATCTATGTGAAATAGAAATACACTGGAAACGCCTTTCTGTAGTCAGCTCCCCAAACAGTAAAGCCAATGCTGTGCTCTTCAATGCAAACTTCAATGCTGTCTGTAAGGATTTTTAGGTTGCTTTGGAAACGTTAGTTTCCAGATTGTTTTTTGATTTCTAGAAAGATTTAGGACAACTTTATTGACACTGGGGAGGCATGAATGCAAAGAAGGTGTGGAAATATTCCTTTGGCTATAATTTCACATAAAGCCTGTCAGCTTTCCACGAGATGGGAGAGGATCAGATGGGTCAGTCTGAAACCTAATGGCTAGCTGTCTTGGCCATGGATTGAATAAAAGAACTTCTTCCCTCCCTGCCTCTTGCTGCTTA